AGACCAGAGGATATGAAGGGTCCCGAGGAAGGACGCTGGCGTGGTACCCTTGAGAGTAAAGAATGATGTGGCTGCTCAAAACCAAAAAGGCGCCTCCCACAAATTCTTAATAACATCAGAACATGTCCCCGGGTTATCGTTCTATCAGAGAGATTATAAATCCTGGCTTCAAGGGCTGTGGGCAAATTCGCTAACCTGCCTGTGCCTCAGTTTCCTCATCTATAACATGGGGGTTAGAAACACCCCACCTTATATAGGTGCTGGGGATTTGAATGAATTAAAATATGAAAAGGGAGTCAAATAATGCCTTGGTCTACAGTACGGGCTGCCTAAATGCTTTTAAAAGTAAAATGAAGAGAAACAACAAATTCCAAGCTCCATGTTCCAGACTTGAAAAATACATATTATTTTCTGTGTTAAAAAATTCAGAAGGAGCCCTAGCCAGTCTGGCTCAGTGGGAAGAGCGTTGGCCTGCAGACTGAAGGGTCCCAGGTTTGATTCTGGCCAAGGGCACATGCCTAGGTTCCTGTTTTGGTCCCCACTGTGGGGCTTGCAGGAGGCAGCCAATCAATGATTCGCTCTCATCATTGATGTTTCTATCTCTCTTCCTTTCTGAAATCAATAAAAAAAATATTTAAAAAATTCAGAAGGAAAGAAGCAGAAGTGTCAAAAGCAGCTGCGTTTCAGCGGTGGTAGGTTTATGGGAGTTTTATTTTGTGTTCTAGATTTTCCTGTACTTCCCAAAGCTCCCACAAAGAATATGAATTACTCTCATAGAAATATGTCTCAAACAAGAGCAGAGAAAATTTCAAAGTCTTGGAGAGATCCCAGATATGCATGTGTCCGGCTGCCCCCTCTTCCACTGATCTCTGTGGTGCCTTTCCTAGATTGGGGGACAGGACTTTGGGGTTCTCCAGGCTTTCCAGCCCGAGGGGAAGACTGCCCTTCAATTGTAGTGAGCAAATTCTACTGGGTGGAGAGGTTGGGCTCCTTCTTGCCTCTTCCTCCAGGGAGCCCTCCCTGACCTATGCATCTAGCTGACCTACCTAAGCGAATACATAGTCCAAATACTTGTCAAGTCCTCCTAGTATTATATCTCATTTTACTTCCTATATTGCTCCTCCCCAGTCTACAAACCCAGGAGGACCTACCCCTGATGCTCAGGCTATCCTGTACCCTGCTTCTCTAGCCTCAGCCTATTCTAGTTTGTCTAATACCTTGGATGCACCTATACCCCTCCTCACCTCAAGGCCTTTCCCCCTGCTGAGCCCCCCTCCCAGAACACTCTTCTTCCCACTTCTTTGCCATCTGACTGCTTCTTTCCTTTCACATCTTGGTTCAGAGCCAACAGCTAACCCTTGAGCACCCACTATGTGTCTGGTGCCACACTGAACACGTAACTCGAATTGATGCATTTAAGCCTCATATTGATCTGGTGACATCGGGCTGTCAAGACCCCCAATTTGCAAATGAGACACAGAGAAGTTAAATAAATTGCTCAAGGGCGCAGAGCTAGGGAGCAGGGAAGCCCGGGCCACCACCCCATCAAACACGTATCTGCCTCAAACACGGATTCTCTGAAATAATTCCTCACTTATTTATTGCGGCCTCCTATTTGTTTATCGCAGGGGCTTTTGTCTATCTTGTGCACTGCTGTGTCCCCAGTGGCTAGAAAAGTTTGGTACATAACAGGCACTCTATAAATATTTGCTGAATGAGCAGACAGTGAAATGAATTAGCACATTGGGCCTGGCTGCAGCAAGAGGGAGTTAGGTGAGACACAAGGAAGAACTGTTGGGGAGGACATCACTGTCTGTGTGTCCCGACGGCAGGAGGTCCCATGACTGCCCTGGGAGGCATGTCTGGAATGGAGGTTGCCTCTCAGAGGTCCTGAGGTTGGACAGGCGGGGCCCCTGGCTAGAGGCCAGCGTCGCAGGGCTGGGTGTTTGGAATAGATACAGAACAGAGGGGTGGTGCCCGGAGCTGGCCAGAAACAACATGGAAAAGCAAGAAAACACAGCTGCGTCCCCACCCTCCAGCTGTGCCCTCGGGTCCCACCACGAGGCTCTGGGCACCTTAGATTTGAGGTTGGCATGAGAACCTGGGTCTCCCCTCTGAGCCCTGCCGCAGGTTCAGGCTAACTTCGGTTCAGATCCTGGTTCGGCCACTTCCTGGCTGTGTGACTCGGGGCAAGTGCAGCTTCCCCCCAAGCCCGTTTCCCCAACTATAAATAGAGTTGACCTGAAAATCATCAGCAGACACAGAAACAAGCACCGATGAAGTACTTACTGTGCGCGCTAATTCACAAGCATCCTAGGGGGGGGACCGTTATTATGCCGCTTCACAGGTAGGGAAGCCGAGGCCCAGAGAGAAGCTGCGCACTCAGAGACACACAGCAAGTGGACTTTCAACCCAGGCTGCCTGGCTGCACCGCCCTGCCTCCAGCCCCTCTGTGGGTGAAACACTTAGCACAGCACCCAGCTCCAGGCTGGGGTCTGATAAAGAGCAGCTGCTGCCATTATTATGAATCATCCTGGCAGCTTCTCCCGGGGGCCTCAGGGCAGCAGTGGTAGGCAGCTGCCATTCTGCACAACCCACATCCCCTTTCTTGGCATGAAGACTCAGCACTTCCTTCAGGGAGCGCCCCTCAGGACTTGGCCACAGCAGGACCTGGGTGGGGCTCCTCTACCCCCAAAGGGCTAGGCAGTGAGGGTCAGCGATGAGCTCAGCGTTGGGCATGTGACCCGAGCCGGCAATGAGTGCCACCGCTGGGATTTTTATTGGCAATGTTTGGACCGAGGGGCTCCCTTTCCACTGAGCGGCAAGCACAGAGGCGCAGAGCGGCGGGGTCACCTTTGCTGGCCTGAGAGAGAAGCCTCAAGGGTGCACAGAGGAAGGGAAAGAAAGAAAGATTCAAGAGCACCAGGATCCAGCCATGCCTGAAGTTATCGCTAAGTTACATTCCCTTGTCATGGCTTGAACTGGTCTGAGATTGCTTCCTGCCACCGACTGAATAAACAGGGAGCAAACCAACAGTCTTGGGGAGACCCTCTGACAAGTACGTTCTGTCTTCTGCACACGTCCAGTGTACGAGACACGAGGACATACAGTTGACAGACACGCAGTTGTTCAGCATGATCCCTACACACTGAGTTGGTGGCATAATCTTGTCCCCTTTTTGCAGAGAGAGAAACAGAGGCTCCAAGATGGGGATGACCTGGATGGTGGAAGGCCGGGGCTGGGGCTGGACCCTACTGTTCAGATGAAGCAAGAGGGGCCCTCCACTGCCCTCCCTGCCCAGCGTGGCTCACCTGCTGCCCCGTTGCAGCTTTGCTCTGTGATGCTGATCTTCTTCACCAAGTGGACGTTGCCAGTGGAGGCAGCGGGCGAGGAGAACACTGCCTCCACCACTTCATGGCTTCGGAACACGGGGTGGCTCTCGGTTCCTCCAGATGCCACCAGGGCCCGCAGCCCTGCCCCATAGGGCTCCAGGCTCTGGGCCCGCTGTGCAGGGGCCCCAGCGGCCGTGCTGGCTGCCACCTCCACCTCCCGAGGTCCCTCTACCACTCGGATGGTGTCCACGCGAACTGGGCTGTCTGGCGGTGGCCAGGCCTGGGGCTGGGGCTCGGGCTGGGGGCCAGCCTGTCGGGCCTGAGCTGCCTGCAGCTCCTGAAGCGCTTTCTTGAGCTGGGTCTCCAGCACTGCGACCTTGGCGGCCAGGGCCACCTCCCCATCAGGCACGCCCAAGTCCCGCTCCCGGACCCAGGTGCCCACGCTCCGGGTCTCCAGTGGTACCGGATCCTCGGGAGCCTCGGGGAGATCCAGGCAGAGCTCGCTGCGGCCCCGGGCCCCCGAAGGGTGGCCCAAGAATTTCTGGCTCTTGAGCTGCACCGTGAGCTGCCGCTTCTCTTCCTGCAGCACCGACAGCTTCACCTGCAGCACGGGGATCAGCTTCACCTGCTCCTCCAGCTGCCGCAGCTTCCGCAGGGCCCCCGCCATCTGCTCCCGAACGTGGGCCAGGTGCCCGGGGCTGGGGGGCACT